AGGACCGCGGCCATCTCGTCGGCGCAGCAGGCCAGCGGCGAGACGGCGTCGGCACCGGCCTCGCGCGCAGGCAGCCGCGCCCCCTCGCGATCGAGAAGGTCCCACCGCGTCCGCAGCGGCACGGCGACGGGCAGCCGGTCGGTCTGCGACAAGGTTCTCATCCACGTCACCGACGAGCGCGCGGTGGCGGCGGTACGCAAGGCCCTCAGTGTCGGCGGCACCACCGACGACTTCGCGCCCGACGCCGAGGTCCACTACGTCGAAGAGCAGCCCTGGATGTCGGCGGCAAGCCCGTCGATGCGGTCAAAGGAGCTCGGGCTGACCGAAGACCAGGACGAGCCCTTCACGCCGCAGCGCAGCGACCAGAAACGGCGTCGGCCCGCGGCTCGAAGGACGCTCTCGTACGGAGGCGGGCGCGGTGAGGACGCCGGCTTCGACGTCCAGCGACCTCGCAGCATCACCTCGATTGACGAGGTCACGCATGGCCGACGACAGCTGCAAGAGCATGTCGGTGGAGTCGCCGAACAAGCTGCAGATGCGGCGGCGACGGCGAAGGCGGCGGCAGCAGCGGCGACCGAAGACGTCGGCATCGAACCGGCTGCACGGGGCCGGCCTCTGGTGGGTCGCCACGCCTCGCAACCCGCCGGCACGGTCGTCTATGACGCCAGCGAGGTCGGCAGCAGCGGCAGCAACAGCCGCGATGCAAGGACGGGCGTGCCGTTCCCCGCGCGCCGCGGCCGTGCTCCCTCGCAGCTCTCGACCGTGATCCTCGCAGAGGAATCTCCGACCCAGGCAAGCACCTTGGCGGCAGCACCGCCGGCAGCCTCGAACGGCGGGAGCAGCGAGGCCAATCCGACCCCGATCGACGGCACAACGGGCCTCAGCGCCGGGCCGCAGCGCTCCGTTGACCTTGACGCCTTGACGGCCGAGCTTGCGAGCGGGACCGGCAAGCTCGAGGTTGCGAGCGAGGCATCCGCCGAGCTGGTCGCGCGCCTCGCCGTCGACATCGGCGACTTTGTACGCGCGATGACGGGCCTCAGGGACGCCGGCGGAGATGCGCTCGCCGAGCGCCTCGATCCGATCAGCTTCGACGCCTTCAAAGCCCTCTCGCCCGCCCTCGGTCTCGTCCACGCGAATGGGCGGCGTCTCGCTCCCGCCGACGATGCCATGCTGGCCCTCTCGGTCCTCGGCGAGACGGCCAGCCCGCGCGAGCTCTACATGGCCATCGACCTGCGCTGCCACGCCTTGGTCTCGGCCAGCGTCGTCGCGATGCCGCTGAATGGCAGCACGGGGGCGGCCGGAGGCGACGGGATGTTCTGGACGCCAGCGGCCGAGGCTTTCGAGCTCGTCGGGCTCCTCGGCGTCGTCGTGCCCCGCATCCGCACCAAGCGGCCGCAGTCGTTCTCGTCCGTATTTGCGCTGCTCGCCGACCTGATCGGCACGTCGATGCGCCGCACCGCCGCCGCTACATCGCCCAGCCTGGCAAGGACGCTCGCGCATCACGGCGTCCGCCGGTGCTGTGCGCTCATTGTCGCGGTGGCCGATTGGGAGGCTCGCTGCAACGGATCGTCCGGCGCGAACCCTGCCACCGAGGCGGGGGCCTATCGCCTGTCGCAAGAGGCGCTCAGCCCCTTTTTGGCGGCCATCTCGCACCTGCTGCCCTACCTGCCCCGCAACGACGAGCTGGGACTGGCCGAGGCCCACTTCCGCCGCAGCCTGCCGCAGTACGCCTTCACCAGGCCGGGCGACGGCCAGGACGTGGCATCCGCGGCGCCGAACGGAGCCAAGGCCATTCATGGCGAGGGCGACGATGCCGAGCGGACCTGGTCGCAGCTCGCCAGCACCATCGGGCGCCTCAACGTCGACCTCGCCAACATCTGGACCTCGGCGCTGCAAGGCCTCGGGCAGGCGGGCGGCGCCACCCCCGGCGACGGCGATCAGTCCGCGTCGCTGCGCTCGTCGTCTGGCATCGACGCAGAGGACGAGCAGGCCGATTCGGAGCGGCGCCTGAGATCGACGCTGGCGGTGGGCGGGTTTGCGCTGCACGTCCACCTGCTCGCGCGCGGCTCAATGTCCGAAGGCCCCGCCAGCTGGTCTGCAGCGACCGCAGGGACCAGACTTGAGCAGGGGCTCCCGATGCTCATCCTCGCCCTCGGCACCGAGATGGAGCAAGCGGCCAGCGGCAGCAGCAACGGCGGCGGCGGCGACGGTATCGAGGCTCTGCCCTCGCAAGATGCCGGATCGAAGGCGGCGATGATGGAGGCCGTCGGCCGCGAGAGTGTGCTCAGCGACACTTCGCTCACGTGGCTCCTGTGGTGCCTCGAGGGGCTCGGTCGAGGGCGCGACGATGTCAAGCTGAGCGAAGCGCTTGTCGTGGGCGTGGCCCAGGTGCTCGCCTCGCACATGGCGCTGTCGCCATCGCCCGTCGCCAGGCATGCGCGCCTCAGGGCACTCCAGGGCCTGGTGTGCGACCGGGCCGACGAGGCGGTGGCGCTCCGCACCATCGGCTCGCTGGCCAGGACGTCACCGTTCAGCCAGGTGCGCGCTGCCTGCGTCGGCCTGCTTCGCGCCTTTGTCCTCCCGCGGCTGTCGGCGCCGGAGCACGGCGCACTGCTGCGCGGCGTCGAGGCGCAGCGGCTCCTCGGCGAGCTGTTCGAGCCGATCGCCCATCCGCCGCTGCCCTCGTCGCCAGAGGGACCGGCGAGGCTCGAGGCGTTCCTCTCGGAGCATGTTGCCGTGCTGCAGGAGAAGGCGGGCCTGCTCTACGTCCTCGTCTCTGCCGCTGGCGTCGATGGCCCATCGAGGCAGCGGTACGAGGGCATGCGAGATGCGTGGACGCGGCCGCTCAGGGCGTTCACCGACGCCTGGCTGCGGCGGTTCGAAACGCGGGCGGCGGATGTGGCAGCGGAGGGCCGTCAGCATGACGGGCAGAGGCAGGTGGAGAGCGAGGTGCTCTTGCTGCGGACGGCACTCGAGCGGTTGGAAGCGTGAGGTGAGAGGGACTGCGCGGGGTATGCAGCCGACTCGACGACAGCGTCGTCAAAGCTGAAAAGATCGATGATCGTGATCGCCATCGCGGCAGGGCGGCTGTGGGTGTGCATGTGCGAGAGAGTGCGTGAGCGTGCTTATCCAGTGGAGCCCAGCGTGCCTGTCGAGCGCTGTCGGCATCGTGCCGCGTGCAGTGCGACCTGGCTGCGCCATAGCGGCGTGGAAGGTCTCTGCTGCGGGCGAAAGCGTGTGAGTCGGCGTGGACCCGTGCCGCATTTGATGAGCCGCCTAGGACGTGCAACGAGAAGCAAAGCGGACAGAGGGACGGTCTGAGCATCGCGGTATGGACCCGACCCGGGAGTAGGGGTCAGTAGGCCCGAGAGTGCGCATCGGACTGAAGAGGCCGGCGAGAAGCCTCACCTTGCCATCGGGGGGCGTCGCAGTCTCGCCTCAATCCGAGTCGAGCTCGATGGCGTCGGTGTGGGTCCGGCCGCTGGCGCCTCGGGGCCTCATGCCTGCGCTCGCGGTCGTGAGAAGCTTGTCGGAGAGCTTGCGTCGCTTCCGTAGCTCCGTCAGCGGCGCTGCCTCGTCTTCGTCGGCTTCGTGGTCGCCACCGCCGGTCGCTGCGACCTTGCGGCCACCACGGAGCGGTGCGCTTCCCTCCTCGCCGTCATTGTCGTCAATGGGGTCGTCGTCGTCGTCATCGTCGACCACGTCATCGTCTTCCTCGCTCTCTTCGGCGGCGGTGCTGGCCTTGCGCTTTGCGCCGTTCGCCTTGGCCCGCTTCTTGGCCTTGCCGCCGGCCTTCCTCGGCAGCGCGACCGAGAGGCCGTCGCGTTCCAGCCTGCCCTGGAGGCGGCCTGGTTTGACGTAGACGTTGACCGTGTAGGCGGTGGCGTGGTAGACGTCCTCGACGTAGCCTCGGATCAACATCTGGACCATGGCCGTCTCGAGGAGGTCCTTGTTGGCCAGCTTGGTGCCGATCAGAGGCTTGAGGTCGACCTTGTCCGTCGACGACGACGACTGCGCAAGGGGAAAGCGGCCGGCCTTCTGGCCCATGGCGAGCGAGACGAGGAGCGCGGGCGTGACGCGGCCGCCCTTGTTGACGATGTAGGTGAGCACGCGGAGGAGCGAGCGGGCCTGTGCCTTGACGTCGACGACCTCGGCCGGCTCCTGGCAGTTGTCGCAGGCATTGCACGCGGCCGCGTCGCCAAAGTCGTCCTTGAAGTACCTGGCAAACAGCAGCTTCCGGCACTCTGCGGATTGCGAGTAGGACAGCATCGCGTGGACTGCCGTCAGAGAGAGAGGGAGAGAGACGAGTGGTGAAGGTGGGACAATTCACGGGCGGGGTCAGTTGTTAATGCTGCCGGCAAGCAGATCGCTCGCGACTGCGGCAGAGGCGGGATCACGGCCGAGCGAGGCTGTCTGGCCGGCGGGCAGGCAGACGGGGGCGACTTACGTTTCTCCTGGCCGGTCGCCTCGCCAGCCACGAGGCCGCTGACCCGGGTAGCGTCCTGCGGGCGGTAGAAGAGGACGCAGTCCGAGGGCTCGCCGTCCCTCCCGGCGCGTCCCGTCTCCTGGTAGTAGCCATCGAGCGACTTGGAGATGCAGGCGTGCAGGACGAAGCGGACATCGGGCTTATCGATGCCCATGCCAAAGGCGATGGTGGCGCAGACCACCTGGACCGTGCCCTGGCGCCAGTCGACGTGCACCTGGTGCTTTTCGGCGTCGTCGAGGTCGGCGTGGTAGACGGCGGTGCCGATCCGGCCGCCGCTGAGCTCGTAGAGCGCGCTGGCCATCGTCGCCGTGTCCTTTTTGCTGAGGCAGTAGACGATGCCGCTCTTGCCCGCGTGGCGCTCGAGGATCCAGTAGCGGACGGCCTCCATCGACTCTTGGGCGCTCTGCGGCCGCGTCAAGACGCTGTAGCGCAGGTTGCTGCGGTAGAGGGGCGCCGAAAAGTAGACTGTCTTGCGCGGCGCCGCGTTGTCGGACCGCGTCGTCGGAGGCAGGCCGACGATCTCGAGCACCTCCTTGAGCACCCGGGGCCCGCACGTTGCCGTCAGGCACATGATGGGCACGTCCGGGAAGAGGTTGCGCAGGATGGCGAGCTTGGTGTAGTCCGGACGGAAGTCGTGGCCCATCTGCGAGCAGCAGTGCGCCTCGTCGATGACGATGCGCGACAGTCGGCCCTGCTGGTGCGCCTTCTGCAATGCAGAGAGCGTGTTCTTGGCCTTCGCGATGCGTTCCGGGGTGACGTATAGCAGCTTGATGCCGTCGCTCTTGCCTTGGCCGCGCTCGTCGTCCTCGTCATCGCCCTTGTCCTCGTCCTCGTCGTCCTTGGTGGCTGTGCGACTGCCGGAGCCCGCGACCTTCTTTCTCTTCTTCGCGGACGAGGCGGAGCTTGGTGTGGATGTGGAGGCGTCGCCGGTGCGTACGCGGCGCAGGATGTCGGTCGTCTGCTCGCGCGAGATGGCGCCCGACAGTAGCTCGCACTCGACGCCCTTCTCGCGCAGGTTGAGCACTTGGTCCGTCATGAGAGAGATGAGCGGGCTGACGACGAGCGTGAGGCCGTCCTCGAGGACGGCGGGCAGCTGGTAGCAGAGCGACTTGCCGCCTCCCGTCGGCATCACGACCACCGCGTCTCGGCGGTCCATGGCGGCGTTGCAGACGGCCTCCTGGCACATGCGGAACGACTTGATGCCGAACGTCTTTTGCGCGGTGGCGAGGAGGCGGGTCGACCAGGCAAAGTCGCTGCGGGTGTAGTCCGTGCCGCGCTTGGCCGACGCCACCGAAGACGAGCCCGCCGCGCCGTGGTCGAGGCCATCGATGTAGGATTGGTAGACGGTCTGGCGCTCCCTAACGAGCCGCGTGCGGGTCCGTTGCAGCTCGGATATCCTCGTGGCCAGTTCGCCGATCTCGTCATCGAGTTCCTCGAGCCGTGCGGCCACCTCCTCATCGTAGATCTCCTCTGTATGCGGTGTCGTAGGCTGCGTTGGTGGCCCCCGGCCGTTCCGATGCCCGTTTGCGTTGCTACTGCCACCGCCGCTGCCACCGTTAGCGCGAACTCCGACGTTGGAATGGAAGATCTTGACGTCGGAATCTGGACCGTTCATCTTGCAGCTCGATCCCGGCTGGACTGCCTCGCCTCCAAGGCGCTAGCAAGGGTGGGGCAGGACGAAGGCCGCAGCGATGCAGACGGCAGCGGCAACAGCGAGAACGGACTAGCGGCGAGGTCGAGGTGGTGGCGAGGGAAGAAGGTGCAGAGGGACGGTGAGGAAAGGGTTGAGGCCTGAGTCGGGAGCGGGCCGCGCTTATGTACCAGCTGCGAGGTGGCCAACTCGAGAGGGCGAGGTGGCCAACTCGAGAGGGCGAGGTGAGGGGAGGCAGCAGGGCCTCTCATGAGTGGTGGACCCTGACAGACCTGCTCGCCAGCCCTGGCCTGGCCTAGCCTGGCCTGGCCTGGCCACCCAAAATCGCCGCGAGGCCGTCTTGCGACTCCCGAGAGAGGCCAGGCCAGTCCAGGCCAACAACGGGTGGAGGGCGCGGCACAACAGCCTGGCTGGCTCGCATCTCTCTGCTTCTTCGCTGGCCTTGCTTGCTTGCTTGGCGCTGTCCCTCTCGCCTCCTCATCTACGCCCAAGCTGCTTGCCCTGCCTCGACCGACGCTTCACTTCACCTGAGCTCGCTCCGATTGGTCGACAACCTCGACGACAACCTCGACTCACGCATTACTCCTTGAAGATAGCCACTTCGGCATCACCGACGTGGCAGGACCCACCCCGTTTCCAGCCAGCCTAGCCTCATCCTCCGGGCCGCGCGTTCGTTGGGCGGTTCTGGCCCTCAGCCGAGAGCACAACCGAAACTCTAGATACCAGCTTGAAGCCATCCAGGTCAGGAGCCTGCACCGCCGCCTGCCTCCAGCAACCTACTCGCTCGACAGCCGGACATCGCCGCCCGCTACCGACATGTCGGCGCAGCAGCAGCTGGCTCCGGAGCGCTCCATCTTCGGCATCGATCCGCTCGACGACTTTGCCACGCTGGTGGGCGACTGGATCCTCTACCACGGCGGCAACAGGCAGAACCTCGAGGTGAGCGTCCACGTCGTCCTCGTCGTCACTCTGTCGTCGGAAGCGTCCTGGCCGGCGGCGTAGTGTCGCCGCAACCTGCGTCTTGCAGGCCGCTCATGCGCAGTCTGCTTTCCATCTTCGCGGTGTGCGCGTGTGTGCGCTCGCGCTCTGTCTGCTGTCTTGATCCGTGCAGATCGAGGGCAAGGTCGGCCTGATCATCGACTCCGAGACTGGCCAGCGGGTGCAGCTGCCCGTGAGGACCGAGACGGGTGAGTGCGCCTCGCGGCTGACCCGAAGACGGCGGGCGGCAGCCGGCCTCGCTGCGAATATCGGTGCTGATCGCCATCGGTCCAACCGACACCTTCCCTTTCGGCTCGCTTCGCAGTCGTCGACCTGCCCCGGACCCGCTTTGAAAGCAAGATGACTATGGTGCGTCGCTGGCGATCGTCCCGCAGACGTCCTTGCTTTCGCTGACCCGCTCCGTTCGCGCCGCGGCCCTTGACCCCTTCTTGCGTGTTGCTCGAGCAGAGCCAGCACGCGAGCTACAACCGCCTGCTCAACAAGCTCGTCTCGCGGTCCGGCGACGGCTCCTACACGGGCGCAAAGGTGTCGTACGCGCGGCGCAAGGAGGTCGACTACTTCCACCCGGCGCCGGGAGGCGGCGGCAAGGTGCGCGTCACGCGCGATGCCGACACGCTCGCCATCAAGCCCAACGGCATCGTCCAGAAGAGCCGCGTTGCCGACCTCAACGTCTACTGCCCGGGAAGGGCGTTCGACTACCGCATCAGCGTCAATACCGAGACCCCGGGTGAGTGGTCCGTCGTGCGCCCCCCATCGACTCGAGGCTGCAGCCAAGGCGACTCGCGCTGATGCGGTTGCGCTCGCTCCGCTGCCCTCCCGAGACCAGCCCAAGAACCGACGTCGGAGAGCACGTCGATACGCGAAAAGAACCGCCTCTCGTACAGCCACCAGAACTTTGTCGTGGACCTGACACAGGTCACGATGCCAGAAAAGGTGAGTTGCCTGGGCAGCCACCGCACCGCCGCCGGGGCTGTCGCGGGAGGAGGACGGTTTCGGCGTACGCCTGCTGACCGGGCCCATGCCGACCGCCTGGCCCTGCCCTACGTTTCCTCGCGGTAGCCGCAAGAGCCGATCCACGAGCTCGAGATTGAGTTCAAGGACGTGCCCGCGCTCCTGGCGGCAGCGCAATCGAGGGGCGGCGGCGCCAAGGGCAGTGCCGACGGTGCGTCGTCGTCGCAGGACTGGACGGCCTACGACGACCAGATCCTCATCTTCCTCAACAACCTCAGGCTCCTGATCCGGTGAGTGCCGTTGCATCGCTCCGGACCGGCCCGATCCGAAGGAGGATTCGCGCAGCAGCTGCTGACGCCCGTCGCGTGTCTGAACTCGTCGTCGCCGTGCCTGCGGTGCGGTGCGGTGCCGATGGCAGCAACGCTCCGGTCGACGAGCGGTAGTCTGCGGGAAGGGAGCGAGGGACGACAGCAGGTGGAAGGAAGGATGCCGGGGAGGCAGCGAGAGGCCTCCGCGGTGGTAGCAGCGACCGTGACATGGGCGGTGAAGGTGACATGAGAGAGAAGAACCGATAATAGCAGATAGTGATACACGTGGTGGCCCTTGTCGATGAGATGGAGCGAGGAGACGAGAAAGCGAGAGCGCAAGCGCAAGCGCGACGCTTGGCGGCGACGGGCTGATCAGCGGTCGGGACCAGTCCGAAGCGATCGGTTCGCCGCGGACATGGCGCGATCCAGGCTCCTCCTCTGCGACTTCCAGCGGTGCTCGATCTCGGTCCGGCTGCCGAGGCTCTGCGGGTTGCGCAGCAGGTTGGTCGGATCCACGCGGGCCTTGATCTCCTCGAGCCTGCGCAGCGAGGGGCCATAGTAGAGGGATCGCCACTCGTTCTCGCTGAGGTCCGGGTCAAGGTAGCACGAGTAGCCCGCCGCCTTGATGCCGGAGCGGGCGATTGAGTCGTGGAGCTGCTCGTTGAGCCGTTCGAGGTGGACGTGCGCGCCGTGGGGTATCGTCTTCTTTTCGTCGGTCCCGGCAGAGGCCTGGATGAGCCAGAGGCCGTCGCGCCACGGGAATGCGCTGCCCTCGATGGCGTCCTTGGTGCGGTAGGCGGGCGCCGGGCCGCCGTAGAACTCGAAGTAGAGATTCCACAGGAACCACGACGGGTGGCCGTCGGCGAGCACCTTTTCGTCCTCGGTCAGCACCGCCGTGTCAAAGAGGTGGCGGTACAGCGACAGGATGGCCTCCGGTGTGAGGCCCTTGGTGTGATCGAGCGTCAGCAAGGTCTTGGCGACAAAGTTGTTGTGCTTCTGCCGCTCGAGGAGCGTGTCGAGCTTGTGGCCGACGGGCCCAAAGTCGTCCCACTCCTGCATCGAAGCGAGAAACGTCATGGACCGCTCCGTCTTGCCGTCCGGCATGGGCGCCCCGTGCTTGCGGAACTGCTTCCAGAGCTGGCCCACGACGGCGCCGAACTCGGCCTCGGTGCCGAGGAAGTTGCCGCGCACGTGGAGCGTGATTTTGCGCCCAGTGTTCGGCATGGGGTCGGTCTTGACGGGCCGCATCATCTGGATGTGGAAGCCAAGCTTCTCGCTGGCATGCTTGGAGAGGGCGAACGCCTGGAGGGCCGTGAAGACGGCGGCGGCGTCCTCGGGCGTATTGAGCGAAGGCGTCCAGCGGTACTCGAAGAAGACGACGGGCGTGCTGACGTCGTGGGTGCGGAAGAGGAAGCGGGTAACGATGCCCACGTACGAGCCGGCGCCGCGGATCGCCCAGAGCAGGTCCTGGTTCTGCGTCTGCGAGGCGGTGACGAGGCTGCCGTCGGCCAGCACCACGTCGGCCTCGAGGATGTGGTCCATGGTCATGCCCCAGGCGCGCGAGGTGGGTCCAAAGCCTCCGCAGATGGCGTGCCCGCCAACGCCAACGCTGGGACAGGTGCCGTGGGCGAGGGCTACCATGCCGTCGCCCTGCGACCAGAGCTCCTTGACGACGTCGCCCAGGCGCGCGCCCGTCCAGATCTCGGCGGTGCGTTCGTGCGGGTGGGAGACGGTCTTGTTGAGCGCGCCCACGTCGATGACGAGGGAGCCGTCCCTTCCGCCGCTGCCGTAGCCGCCAAACGAGTGGCCGCCGCTCCTGGCCGCGACGGCGATGTTGCCGTGCTTGGCGGCGCAGCGCACGGCGGCCTGTACGTCCTGCGTCGACGATGCGTGGACAATGGCGGACGGGTTGTAGTGGAAGACGAGGTTGTCGGACTGGGAAGACTGGTAGTAGGTGCGGGCATCGCTGAGCGCTGCGGTGACTACGTTGAGCTTGTGGCCGACGAGGCAGGCCTGCAGCTGCGCCAGCTGGGTGGGGTCGAGTTCTGGCCAAAGCGGCGTGTTCTGGGCGGTAGCGGAGGCCGCCAGGCCCAAGAGGGCGATCGAGACGATGCCGAGAGCGGTGCGCCAGCGCGACGACCGAAGCGGCGGCCGTGGTGGCGGCGGCGCGGCAGGCATGGCTGAGCGTGGCAGAGCGCAGGCGCTCGTTGTCGACGAGGGTGGCAAAGGAAGGTCGATGGGGTCAAGGAGCGGCAGCGGTTCTAGCAATGTTCCGGCAGGCCATGTGGGGTGGGGGACAGAGGAGAGTGGCGAGGATGAAGATGGAGATGGAAGAGGGGAAGGAGTGGCAAGACGAAGGTCCAGAGGGCGCTTCGTCCAGAGGGCGAGGCTGGCAAGGCATCTTGATGAACCTTGAAAGCGCGGGCCAGGCTGCTCCCCGCCAAGGCAGGCCAGGCGCTCGTCGGCGTTGGGTGGTGCCGAATCAAGGGCCGCGACTGGCGCGGCCAGGCAGGCCTGTCATGCCAAGCGAGCGCACCCTTACCGCGGGCGTGCTCTAAATTTTGGCCCGCCCCCCAGCCCTCACCGGTCCCGTGTTGGCGCCAGGCTTGGAGCGGTAGCGAGTGGCGGTCATGCTCGCGCCAAAGGGTGCGCCGCCGATATGGCCGATGACGGAGGAGAAGGTGAGGACCTGTCCGGGCGACACCTGCTTGCTTGGCTAGGCTTGGTTGCTTTGCTAGACACTCGTGTGCGTGTGTCGCGCGTTTCAGGTTGGTGGGGAGGACGCTGGAACGCTCAAGCAAGCAAGGCGGCCAGGCAGGCCAAGCAGGAGGCAGGTCGAAGGCTGCCTGCCGGCTGCAGGTCCAACGCCCCGGGCTGCTGGTACGTGGCGTGCTTCTGCAGCGCTGTCCCAAGGACCCGGCCACACCTCCATCTTGACTTGCACTCGACTGGCCACTTCGTCCGACGTGCCTCTTGCCCATCACCAACCCAAACGACTCTGCGACCTCATCCACGCCTCGAGGTGTACCGCTGCATCCTTGCTCCTCCCTTCGACGACAGCGGAACCCGGATCCTGCTCGCCTCTCGCTGGCCGCAGACGATGCAAGCATCTTCCATCGCCATACTCGACTTCGCCGCTGCCGCTGCCGCTGCTGCTACTGCTGCTTCAAGATGAGCGCCCTCCCCAGCAGATCGGTGCCGTGGTTGCCGTCGAACAACGGCGAGGCGCTGCCCTACCTGTACCAGGTTTGGCAGCCGGGCGCTCCCTCGTCGTCCCGCCACACCCTCGACGATCCTGCGCCTGCGCCGATCTGGACCAGCTCTGCCTTGGCGCATCCGATGGTGGCGTCGCTGGAGCAGCACCAACTCGACTGGCAGCGCACCCTCGCCCTCCTGCGCATCGTCCCCGCAGGTCTCGTCGCGCTGCGAGCCATTGTGCACCTCGTCGCCCGGGCTCACCGACGATCCAAGGTCGCCCTCCCCTCCTCGTCCAAGCGCAAGAGCAAGCAACGCGCTCGAGACGCCCCTTCGCCGTCGAAGTCGGGCGTCTTTGCCTACTTTGCGCCCTTCGTCACGCAAGACGATGTCGACCAGCTCCGCCGCCAGCGCACAGATGTAGCCGACTCGGCGGCCAGCGAGGATGACGACGACGACGGCCGCCGCTTCGACAAAACCCGCTTCGACGGGTTCCGAAAGCAACGGCGTCGGATCGTCAAGCTGGCGGCGGTCGGCGTCGTCGAGGCACTTGCCTGGATGGTGCAGCTGGGCTGGCAGCTTGGCTCCAGCGACGACCCCGTCGGCCTCTTCAACCCAGTGACCACCCTCTGCCTCAGCGCCGGCTGGATCTACGTTGCCGCATCGCTGGCTGCCCGCCCGCCGCAGACGCCTCCCGTCACCGTGTTGGCCATTTTGATAGCGCTCGCCGTCTCGGCCACCGCCGGCCTGCTCTCCTTCATCCCCTCGATCGTCGCCGCCTTCACCAGCGGAAGCCTGGATCCGCTCAACATCGAGCCGCTCGTCTTTAGCCTGGCCGACACCGCCGTCTGCGCCTATGCTCTGCGTCAGGTGCTGTCGATGCCCATCGCCCCCGGGGGCTTTGAAGCCCAGGTCGATCTCGACGAGAGGCTGCGGATCCAGAGCGGAGAGGTCGTCCAGGACCCGAGCGGCGAACGACCCTTGGCAGACACCTACCGGCTCTGCCCGACGTCGCCAGAGGATTACTGCACCCTGTACGAGAACCTCTCGTACTCTTGGATGGCGCCCATCCAGAAGCTGGCGCTCAAGCGGTCGCTGGGTCCGACCGACGTGTGGAAGCTCCGCTCGATCAACGACACCCGGCTCCTCTTCCAGAAGTTCAAGGCGCTCGACCGTCTCTTTGGCGACGCGGCCGATCCTGTATCGACTTCGTCACAGCCCGCGGTGGTCGGGACGGAAGCGCGAAGGCATCCGGGCCTGCTCGCAAAGATCCTGCGGGCCAATGCCAACGACATCCTGCTGGACGCGTGTTTCAAGCTGGTCAGCGTCAGCTTCGCCTACCTCGGCACGTTTATCATGAAGAGCATCCTCACCGAGATCCAGATCGCCGCGTCGATGGAAGGTGGCACCGCCAACGACGATGGTGGGCGCCACGGTCGAGGCGGCGCGACTCCCACCACTGGCCAAGCATGGACGCCAAGACAGAAGGCGTTCGTCTACGCGACCATCGGTCTGGCTTTGACCGTCGTCCGGTTCTTGGCCGAGCTGCAAAACTACCACCATGCCCGGCAGGTCGGGCTGCGCCTGCGCTCGACGCTGGTCGTGTCCATGTTCGAAAAGGCGCTCAAACGGCGCGACCTCTCGGGTCTGACCCGGCCGACCAAGAGCGACGCCGCGCGACGAGGCGCGGAGCCTGCGCAGACCGAATCGGGAGCGGCCTCGCAGCCGACCTCGGCCTCGGCTTCGCCAACCATCGCCCAGGGATCGCCGGAGGTCGGTTCGGATGGTGGCGATGGCGACGGCGACGAGGCTGTTCGCGGGCCGCAACAAGATGGCCGGCATCTGGGTGTGCCGCGAGGTGCAACTCGCGGCTCGCAGACTCCCTCGGTCGGCGAGTCGGCTGGCCTCGCCCGCAAGCGTTCGTGGACCGACTCGCTCCGCTCGTTGACGTTGCGGCGGCCGCTGTCGCTGTCGTCGATCGCCCATTCGCTGCGCTCAGGCAGGTCGGCGCGGCAGAGCAAGGACGCGGCGGCGGCGGAAGAGCGTCGTCGCGCGGCCGAGCTGCAGAGGGAGGAAGAGGAGCGGGGCGCCGACATCGGCAAGGTGGTCAACATGATGGCGAGCGACATCAATGTGCTGCTGCGCATGGGCTGCGACCTGCACCAGCTGTACGGCGCGCCGTTCGAGGTGACGATCGCCACCGTCTTCCTGTACAAGCTGATGGGCTGGAGCGCGCTGGTGGGCTTCTCGATCCTCGTCGCCGCCATCCCGCTCAACTACTTCTGGGGCGAGGCGGCGGTGCGGCGCCAGCGCGAGTACAGCTCGGCACGCGACGAGCGCATGAACCTCATGACGGAGCTCATCAGCGCCATGCGCTTCGTCAAGATCCAGGGCATCGAGGGGCGCTGGGAGCAGCGGGTGCGCGAGGCGCGGCGCAACGAGATCCGCAAGCTCATCTGGTCCCGCCTCATGAGCTTCTTGTTTGAGCTGCTCTGGACCACGGTGCCCGTGCTCGTCACCCTGATCAGCTTCTTCTTCTACGTCAAGGTGGCCGGCCACGAGCTCACCGTCGCCGTCGCCTTCACCGCCATCGCCCTCTTCACCATGATACGCCCGCCGCTCAACGCCATCCCCGGGTTCTTGATGGGCGGCCTCATCGCCCTCGTCAGCGTCAAGCGGCTCGAGGGCTTCCTGAGCGAGGAAGAGGTCGACGCCACCGTCAGCGCCCTTTCCCGAGGCTACGGAGAGGGGTTCAAGGCCAAGCGCAGCGGTGCCGACGAGTCGACCGGGGCTGAGGCTGAGGCCGAGCCAACGGTCGAGGATGACGACGCAGCCTCGGAGCTGGCCATCGCCAACGGCAGCTTCAAATGGCATGTCCGTCGGGTAGCGGTCGTTGGAGACGGCGGTGCCGCGTCGCCGGACCCCAACGTTCGCTCGGCCGACATCGGCGGAGATGCTTTCGAGCTGCGTAACCTCTCGGTCAGCTTCCCTGCGCAGAAGCTGTCGGTCGTGCTCGGCCCGACGGGCTCCGGCAAGAGCAGCCTCCTGTCTGCGCTGCTCGGTGAGATGCTTGAGACGTCGCAGGGCGCGGTGCGGCGATCCAAGTTCGACGCCAGGGGGAGGAGCCGGATCAGCTTTGCCGGTCAGCTGCCGTGGCTCGAGGCGGGCAAGACGGTGCGCGAAAACATCACGTTTGTGACGCCGTGGGATCCCGAGCGGTACCGGCTCTGCGTGCACGCCTGCGCGCTCGACGACGACATCGCCGCCATGGACGACGGCGACCAGACGCGCATCGGCGCGCACACGGTCTCGGGCGGGCAGAAGGCGCGCATCTCGCTCGCCCGCGCCCTCTACGCCCGCAGCGACACGGTGCTCCTCGACGACGTCCTCTCCGCCGTCGACACGCGCGTCCAGAACCACCTGGCCCGGCATGCCCTGACCGGCGACATCGCCCGCGGTCGGAGGATCGTGCTGGTGACCCACCACGCCCATCTCGTCGCCGACCAGGCCGAGCTGATGGTGTACATGCGCAGCGGCCGGATCGAGGCGCTCGGCAGCCCCGCCAAGCTGCGACAGCTCGGCCTGATCGCTGCGCACCGCAGCGGCGGCGGCGGCGAAGAAGAAGAAGAGGGAGGTGGAGCCGACGAGGCCGGAACTGTCGATCCCGGCAGCGGCGATGGCAGTGACAATGCAGCATCTCCGCCAGCGGGCCATTCGGATGCCACCAAGCCGGCCGAAGTCGGCGATGCGGGCCGCACGCCGGGCACGCGGACGCCCCGCCTCCTCTACGAGGCCGAGAAGCGGCGGCAGGGCGCGGTGAGCTGGGTCTTTTACAAGACCTACCTCCAGGCGTCCAAGATGAGCATCTGGCTCTGCCTTATCTTGTTCCTGCTGCTGCTGCGGCTTGCCAGCTCGTTTGAGCAGTACTGGCTCAAGGTGTGGGGCGAGGCGTACCGTCCCGAGAGCGTCGCCGCCGCCGCTGGCGTCCGCTTCCCTCCGGCCGCGGGCCACTCGACCTTCTACCTCGGCGTCTACGGCCTGACGGGCCTGTCGATCGTCGTCTTCAATAGCGCGCGCGCCATCTGCTTCTACACGGCGTCGATCCGCGCGTCGCAGAACCTCTTCACCAGCCTGCTCTCCAACGTCATCGGCGCGCCGCTGCGCTGGTTTGACACCAACCCGACGGGCCGCATCCTCAACCGCTTCGGCACCGACATGGACGGCATCGACAATGTGATGCCGCAGGCCATCATGAACCTGCTGGGCAACTCGTTTGCCATGGCGGCGTACGTGGCCATCTGCCTGGCCATCGTGCCGGCCTTTGTGGTGCCGCTGCTGGTGCTGGCGGCTGCGGGGCCTTGGCTGGTGGGCGGATTCCTGGCCTCGACGCGCGACATGCAGCGGATTGAGGCGACGAGCACCTCGCCGCTCTACGGCCTCTTTGAGCAGGCGCTCGCGGGCATCGTCACGATCCGCGCGTTTGGCGCCGAACCGCAGGTGCTCGAGTCGCTCCTCGACGCCGTCGACCTGTACCAGTCGCTCTGGTGGGCCGTGTGCACAATGGAGGTGTGGCTCAGCTTCCGCTCCCAGATCCTCGGCGGCGTCGCCGTGTTCGTCGTCACGCTGCTGGCCCTCTCGGGCGCCGTGTCGCCCGGCTCGGCGGGGCTGGCGCTGTCGAGCGCGCAGCTCCTGTGCCAGCTGGCCTACTACCTTGTCAACGACTTCAAAAACATCTCGACCAGCTTCAACTCGCTCGAGCGCGTCGCCGAGTACCAGACGATGCCGCGCGAGGAGACCAACGAGGTGGCGGCGCGCTACAGGCCGTCGCTGCCGCCCGCCGGCTGGCCGTCTCGCCGGGCGACGATCGCGTTCGAGGACGTGTCGCTGCGCTACGCCCCGGAGCTGCCCGAGGTGCTCAAGCGCGTGTCGTTTGTGGTGCAGCCGGGCGAAAAGATCGGCGTCATTGGCCGCACCGGCAGCGGCAAGAGCAGCCTGGCCTCGAGCCTCTTCCGCGCCACCGAGCTCAGCGGCGGCCGCATCGTCATCGACGGCATCGACATCCAGACGATCCGGCTGCACGACCTGCGCAGCCGGCTGAGCATCGTGATGCAGGACCCCGTCCTCTTTTCGGGCACCATCCGCGACAACCTCGACCCCTTCGGCGAGTACGGCGACGACGAGATCCTCGCCGCCATGCGCAAGGTCAACATCGCCGCGCCCGCTGCGTCTGCGGGCGACGAGGACGGCGGCGGCGGCGTGCGCACCGCCAAGCTGGTCGACGTCGAAGGTGCCGATGAAAGTCGTGGGCATGATGATGCAGCGGACCAGGACCGGGCCCGCAATGATGCGGGCATCCGCCTGACGCTCGACACGCCCGTCTCGTCGGGCGGCGCCAACTTCTCGGCGGGACAGGCGCAGCTGATTTCGCTCGCTCGATCGTGAGTACCCCATGCCTCTCGCCTGCTCTCTGCTCGCTGCTGGGCCCGCCGGTCGCGTTGGCCTCTGATGTCCGTCGCTCTGACCTCGCACTCGATCTCCCCCTGCCCTCCTCTTGCTCTGCTGTCTCTGCACTCCAGGCTGCTGCGGTCGTCGCGCATCCTGATCCTCGACGAGGCGACGTCGTCGACCGACATGGCGACGGACGCCATGATCCAGCGCGCGATCCGCACGCAGCTGTCCGAGTGCATCGTCATCTGCGTCGCCCACCGGCTGCGCAGCATCATCGACTACGACCGCGTCCTCGTCATGCAGGATGGCCGCGTCGTCGAGTTTGGACGGCCGAAAGAGTGAGTGTCGCGGCGCTTGGCGGTCATCGTCGGCGGCGGCGGCGGCGGCGGCGGCGGCGGCATTGTCAGCGGGCAAGTGGAGAGACGGCATGCTGACGCTCACCCACCGCTCACCTCCGTACGGCCTCGCTCGCGCGACTGTGTCAACAGGCTGCTGGAAAAGGACGACGGCGACAAGTCGGCCCTCTTCAAGGACCTGTGCCGCCAGTCGTCCGAGTACGAATCGCTGCGCGAGGCCGCCGGTCTGTCGGGCGCCTGACACAGGGGCAGGTGCAGGCCGGTGTCGGTTGGTGGCGGCCGTGGCGGCCACCCGAGCTGGCTGTTCGCTGGTATAGCATCGCATCGATGATGATGGTGACGACGATGGAGGTGATGGAGGAGGAGGATCGGCGGCGACGTGGCCCAAGGCGGCGGAAAACGGACGATCGTAGACATTGATAATACAGCATAGACGGGCCCCTGGTCCCAGCCCTGGCTCCCTTGACCCCGCCCCCTCCGCTTCCGTGTGCGTGTGCGTGCGAGCTGCGGCCCGGGCCGTTGCGGGCTAGAGCTAGGCCACGGCCTCGAGCGTGCTCTCGACGACGATCCTCTGCACCTCGGGCTCGACGTCGCCCTCGCCGCGGTGGAGCTCGACGAGGGTCTCGTACGCCCTCTCGACGGCAACATCGCTGATGGGGACGCACCAGGCGTCGAGGATGGCAATGACCTTCCTGGCCGTCGAGATGGCGGCGCGCGTGGCGGTGTCGATCTCCTCGTTGTCGTCGGTGTAGACGGCGTCGACGTCCCTGCCCGTGCCCGTCCCCGCCATTCCCTGGCCCTCGGTCCCCTCGGCCTTGGACAGGCTAAAGGGCACGTGCTTGGCGATCCAGATGTAGCCGTTGAGGCCGAGGATGAGGTCGAGCTTGACCGGCTTGGCGGCGTCGCGGCCGGGGTCCCGATCCCGATCCAGCGCCGCCTCGTCGTGGCCGGCGCGGGGCGGCGCGAGGGTGACGTCGCAAAAGTGCGACTTGAGGCGCTTGACGCGGCCGGCCTCGACCTTCTGGACGGTGCCGTTGCGCAGCTTGCCGTAGCGCAGCGAGCGGGTGTGGAGGCCGACGGTGCCGTCGTGGAAGACGCTCTGGACCTCTGCGACGACCCAGTCGTCTTCCTTGAAGAAGTTGCGCATCTGGAGCTCGTCGCTCTCGAGCTTCCTGCGCTGCACACCGCCGGGCAGGTTGATGGACGAGAGCTGGAGCGAGGCGTCGGAGCGCGAGTGGATGTCGACCTTCCAGCGCTTGGGCGAGAGCGACGTGACCTGGCCGATGACGAGGTCGCCAATCTCGGGGATGTAGCGCGAGCGGATGGGCGGGATGCTGAGCAGCTTGTTGGTCAGCACCAGCGTCCCCGCCACGGTCGAGGTGATGGTCCCCGTGCTGCTGAGCGTGGTGCCGTGTCCGCGCATAAAGAGCGACGACGAGGCCAGCGGCTCGCCGGGAACGGCAATGGTGGTGGCGCCGTCGCCGCCGTCGTCGGCCGAGGTCGGGTCGTCATCCATGTCCATCGCATCGCCGTGGCCGAGGTGAGCGGCCGACAGGGCGTCGAGCGCATACCCTGGCTTTGTGCTTGATGATGATGATGACGCCGACGACGACGAGCAGGGATGCCGCGCGCCAGAGTGGTGGACGTGGTAGGAAGTCGAGGGCCCCGCAGATCCCTGACGCCGCTTGCGCGATGTGAGGACGGTGAAGGCGGCGGGGCCCGCATTCGTGCTGGTGCCCTGCGTGGCGGCCGACATGGTGTACGCCTGTGTGCGAAAGAGGTGAGCGGTACTGGCGGCGACAGGCGACAAAGAGCGGGGCAAATGGCGACCAGGTGATGGCGGGAAGGAGGCAGGAACGTCGAGCCCAGCCCACAACGGGCTGCTGCAGGCCCGCCCGCCTGCGCGAGAAAAATCTGGCCCCCGACACTCCACTTCGGCGCTGGCCTGGCCTGGCCTCGCCTGGCCTGGCCGAGCTCGAGGCCAAAAAGGCAAAAGGAAATGCCCCGTACTAGGCTCGAACTAGTGACCTTCTGTTTGATACTCAGCTCATGCTGAGGCACTGCGTATTAGACAGATGCGATAATCCAACTACGCTAACGAGGCTTGTGATGTGCGAGGTTGCCAGATGTTGCAATATAATCTTAGTGTGAATTTTCTGCTTCTTGAGCCAGCCTCTGGATGCGGAAAGAGGGGACAAGGCGGCCGGCTGGCCCTCCAAGCCCTGGCAGGCAGCCGCGAAAAAATTCCTGAGCGTCGGTGGTCGATCAGCAGCAGGCAGCAGCGGGCGGCGGCGGGTCGGTCTGGTGAGCGGGCGAGCGGGTCAGCTCCACCTCGCAACGCCTAGCCTGTCTGCAGAGAGGAGGCAGGCGGTTGCGGCGGGGGCGAGGGCGAGGGCGAGGGCGAGGGCGAGGGTAAGGGCGAGGTCGAGCGAGCGAGCGAGCGAGGGATGGATGTGGACGAAGAAGCGACATCGTCGTAGCCTGCGCTCCACGACCATCCCTTTTCCGCACACATCCCGACTACCACCACCGTCGCTTAGCCCCCCCCATTCTGCCCATAGCATCATGTCTGCACCGGCTGCCGCTGCCACCGCCCCCGCCGAGGGCGCCGAGACCAAGGTCGAGAACTTTGCCGATGTCACATTGACAAAGGTGAGTGAGGGTCTGCCGCTCGTGGCCCCTCCTTGCGTTCCTGGGCCTAGCCTCTTGATTTGGCCCCGCGATTTGGGCGCAGTCCTGCTAATACCTCGATCGCTTTGCGCTGCCCCGCTCTGCCCTGTCGTGCCCCGGCGCAGTACAAGCTGGCCGGCGAGGTCAGCGCCAAGGCCATCAAGACGGTCATTGCCGCCATCAAGGAGGGCGCCACCGTCATTGACCTGTGCCAGCTCGGCGACAAGGCCGTCGAAGAGGGCACCGCCGCCGTCTACAAGGACAAGAAGGTGCTCAAGGGCCTCGCCTTCCCCACCACCGTCTCGATCAACAAGTGAGTGTGCCCTTCGTTTGGTCGCTCCCCTCTCGCCCCTCGCGGTGTCGGTCGGCAGGCAGGCGGAGCGACGACCGGCCGGACCGACTCCTGACTGACTCTTGCCCTCTCGCCCCCCGTCGCGCCTTGCGACCCCACCGACAGCATCGTGTGCAACTACGCGCCGCTGGCCACCGACGAGGCCGCCTCGCAGGCGCTCAAGGCCGGCGACGTCGTCAAGATCCAGCTGGGCGCGCACATCGACGGCCTGGCCACCGTCAACGCCGAGACGGTCGTCGTGGGCGCCACGGTCGACAAGCCCGTCACGGGCCGGACGGCCGACGCCATCAAGGCGGCGCACGTCGCCGCCGACGTCGCCATCCGGCTCATGAAGCCCGGCGCGCTCAACCACGACATCTCCAAGCAGGTCGAGGCCGCCATTGCCGAGTTTGGCGTCAAGGCCATCGAGGGGATGCAGACCAACCAGTTCAACAAGAACGAGATCGACGGCAAGAAGAAGATTGTGCTCAACGCCGAGCCCTCGTCGCGCCCCGACGCCGCCAAGCTCGAGGAGGACGAGGTGTACGGGCTCGACATCAGCGTCACGACGGGGCCCGACGGCAAGACCAAGTCGGACGAGTCGCGCACCACCATCTACAAGAAGACCAACAGCACCTACATGCTCAAGATGGCCACGTCGCGCAAGGTGTTTAGCGAGATCCAGAAGAAGGCGGGCACCTTCCCCTTCAACGTGCGCTCCCTCGACGACCAGCGCCGCGCCCGCATGGGCGTAAAGGAGTGCGCCAACCACGGCCTCGTCGTCCCCTTCAACGTCCTCCACGACGGCACGCCCGGCGCCGTCACGGCCCAGGTCTTCCTCACGGTCGCCGTCAACGCCAAGGGCGCCATCCGCCTCACCCCGGCCCCCACCTGGTACAGCGCCCAGGTCGTCAAGAGCGAAAAAGAGGTCCAGGACGACGCCATCAAGGCCATCCTCGCCACCTCGGTCCGGTCCACCAACAAGAAGAAGAACAAGTCGGCCAAGAAGGACGACGCCGCCGCCCCCGCGTCGGCCTAAAGCAAAAGCTGAGCTGCGTCCTCGTCGGCGAGCAGCAGCAGCAGCACTAGCAGTAGCTGCCCCACTTGCCCCCCGTTGGATGCCTCCGCCGCCCCTGCTCTGAGGCGGGGCGGCGGGGGGAAATGACAAAAGGTGCGACCGGCAGCCGCGGTGAATTAAGACTGGCCGCAGGCACGAAGGCATCGATCGACAAAAGGACGGCGTGTGTATGACGGCGGTCGGCCGCATCGTAATCGGGCGGAGAGCGAGAGAGTGAGGGAGTGTATGAGAGAGAGAGAGAGAGAGAGACTGGCGGACATCCTTGGAGAAACGACGAGAAAACGGCCTGCGCGCCGCCTAGACCTTTGAGACGCGCAGGGGCAGGCCACCCTGTGGCTTCATGGTGATGAGGGCCTCCATGACGGGCTGGTAGTCCTTTTCGATGGGCTCGAAACGGAAGTTGGCGACGAGTACGGCGACCATAGCCTTCATCTCGAGGTAGCTCATGGTCCTGCCGATGCAGCCGTGGGCGCCGGCGAGGAAGGTGAGCATACTGAACGTGCGGTCGTAGCCGGCGGGCAGGTCCGACCACCGCTCCGGCCGGAACTCCATGGCATCGTCGCCCCACGTCTCGGGGAACGTGTTGATGGCGCGGCTAAAGATGGGCAGCAGCGTGCCCTTGGGCACAAAGGTGCCGTCGATGACGTCGTCCTTGCTCGCGTACCGCAGCGTGCGCGGCACGGGCGGAGTGAGGCGCATCGTCTCGTTGACGACGGCGTCGAGGTAGGTCAGCGCCTTGATGGCGCTGTACGGCGGCCGCGGCTCGCTGTCGAGCAGCGCCTTGCACTCGGCACGCAGCTTGTCCTGCTTTTCCGGGTGCGTGGCGAGGTTCCACAGCGTCCACGACACGCCGCTCGTCGTCGTCTCGTGTCCGGCCCCGAGGAACGTGAGCTTTTCGGGCAGAGAGCGCAGCGGCGAGACGTATAAAAGCAGAGGAGGCATCAGTCTCGCAGTCCTCTGCCTCGCACGCCGTCGAGCGCACTCCGTCGACTCACCACCTGGATAATCATGTTGTCCTCGGCCTCCTTGAGGCTCCTGACCCTGCTCTCGTTTTCGCTCTGGTTGGTCTCCTCGATAATGTCGATGATGGCCTTGGAGCCCGGCTTGAGCGCGACGCGCTCGCCCGAGTTGAGCTGGAGGCGCAGGATCTCGCGCGAGACGCGCTTGATGCGGTGCATGCCGTTGAGCAGCAGGAAGAGGTCGCGCAGCTTGGAGCCCTTCTCCAGCTTGGCCAGCTGGCCGCTCCAGTCCGACCAGTCGGATGCCTTGTCCAGCAGCCAGCCCGTTCCGGGGATCTGCAGGAGCGGCATCAGCATGGCCTGGTTTTTGCCTGCCGGACCGAGGGAGCATGAGGCGAAGGGTGCGGGAATGAAAAGTCAGATCGCGGTCAGAGCCAATCTCGAGAGCGGGGCGTTCATGCTACCCACCCGTCTGCAGCGCGCCGACCTGATGATAGGCGACATAGAGCTCGGCATCGGGGTTGCGGATCGAGTCGGTGTCGTAGCCTGGCGGAGACGAGGGGAGGGGGAGCGAGCATTAGGGGCGAAGCAAGGTATGAGCATGGCCGCGTTAAGCCAGCAGGTTCGCTCGGACCGCGCCGACAGTTTAGCCCCGTTCTGAGCTCCAGCTCTACTCACCGAAGGCCGTGAGGCTGATGATGTCGAGCAGAGCGCGAGCGGCCAGAGCATCGACGTCGATGATGGCCTCGTTGGCCTTCGCGCCGCCGCCCCCCGGTGCGGCGTCAATCTGACGTTGCATGACCTCGACCATCGGGTAGATCTTATCATAGTACACGGGGAACTCTGCGGGCGAGGACGCGCGAAAGCGGCGTTCACGTCAGCTCGAGAGAGCGGTGAGGGGCCTGCAGACAGGGTCGCGACTCACGGTCGATGAGGCTGGTGAGCGAGAATGCCTGGTTCATGGTCTTGCGCATCTTCTTGTGCGGCTCGCCCTCGATGGTGAGCAGGCCCCTGCCGGCGACCTGCGGTGCGTTGCGCGCAGTGCAACCACGCGAGCACGCGAAGACGAGGGAGGGCCACCCTGGTCAGAACAGGAATCGTCGGTTCATCGAGAGGCCACGGCATCGGCGGCACTAGCTCACCAGAGCGAGGAGCTTGGAAGTCTGGGGCGGCTTCGGGTACAGGTAGGGCTCCTCTACGAGGATCTTCCGGAGCGCCTTGGGCCGAAGGAAGGCGATGCCCGGCTTGCCGAAAAAGGCCTGGGTGCGGAACATGCCGTCCTTTGCGTACTGGCGCGACCAGCGGACCTCGGCCAGCGCGCCGGGCTCCTTGGCCATGAGGAGGAAGTTGCCGAGGAGCGGGTGCGCGGGCGGGCCGGGGATGTGGCGGAGCGGGTTGGGACGGAGGTAGCTGAGGTAGACGACGTAGGCGACCAGCAGGAAGACGAGCGAGGCGCCGGCGACGACGACGTAGGCGGCCGCCTGGATCGGGTGCTGCAGCACATGCTCGGCTGCCCGTGAGGCGGCCTCGGCGACCTTGCTCGACATGGCTGCTGAGGGCGGGTCTTGTGGTGGGGAGTTGCCCGGGCTCGAGAGAAGGAGCTGGAGTGCGGCGGCGAGAGAGGGGGTCGGAGGTGCTGCCGATGTCCAGATGGTGGTGATCAAGGGAAGAGAGCAAAGGGGGCTGCGGTGCTCTGCTTCTTGAACGATCTATCCCGAGCCCAGTCTCGCTGGTGAGCGACGAGGAGCTGGCCGGCCGGGGTGCGTGCGTGCGTGCGTGGCCTCGCGACTCGACTCGAATGGATCGAGAGGATGCAGGGGTTGGATGCGATGGCTCTCTGCCACTTGATGTGCGGTAGGTCGAGGGAGGGCGGCCACACAAGGAACCGACGAGATGCTGCTCTGTGCGCGAGGGGATGGGCGAGAGAAAGGGGGGGGTCCGTGTTGAGCGCAGAGAGACGACAATGGGCGGCTCGGGAGGCGAGCCTATTTCGAGCTGGGCTGCGCTTTGTAGTCGATCTCGCTGTGTCCTGTTGTGCGGGCTTGAAGGCTGGCTCTGCGATGATGGAGGGGTCGCGAGGATGGAGGGAGGAGGACGTAGACCTGCTTCCATGGCAGGGCAAGCCGTACCTACGGACGGACGGCAGCCGCCTGCTGTCCGGAATGAGGGCGAAGAGGGCAGCGGGGTGCGGGATGGGAGATCGATGTGGAGCCCCATTGCCGGGCCGTGGGCAGCAAGGCGCTGCGGCCAAGAGGCAGGCCAGGTAGGTAGAGGGTGCCGCCGTGGCATCGGCTGTCGAACGTCGCTTTGCCTGACAGCTGCCAGCAGCTCGAGGCTGGATGGGTCCGCTTTGCACATGAACCGGCGTCTTGCTCGCAGGGATCGACGGAAGGCGGATCTCGGAGCAGCCTCAGCCTCAGGCTAGCCTCGACGAGCCCTTGGTCGCTCCTTCGCCTTGGCCGCATCGAGGCAGCGAGGCAGCGAGCAGGCAGGAGAGAAGGGGCAGGCGGTGCGGTCACCTACCTAGTCACGGCGCAAGCTCGAAGCAGGCCAGGCTTGCCAGGCCCAGTCTGGCGGCTTTCCTCAGCTGGCCGTCGGTCGCGTGAAAAAGCCAGCCAGCGCCATCCCCCCGACTTCCGAAAGCCGTGAGCTAGCCCCATTTGCCTGCCGCCACGGCGAGCTGAAAGCAAGAGACGCGTCGATACCTTGCTGGCTTGCTTCCCGCCCGGCCCCTCGTGGATCGTCGAGCGCACAACCACTCTGGCCGGCTGTCGGCGGTAGAGCAAGAACCGAACCGTGCCACAGGCTCCCTCGGAAGACTGCGATGCCATCAAACTGATTGCTGCTACCCCAACGTACTATACAAGACAAGACAGGCTTAGAAGCGCTGGGTTCCAAGACCCCAGCTTTGACGGCCGGACAATGGAACGGGAGCGGCGAGCCAAGGAGAGGGGGTGGGCGTGAGGCGCGGACGAGGGCGAAGGAGAGGGCGCGAGCGATGGCGAGGGCGGGCGCAAATGGAAAACGGCAGGGGTAGGGGGGACCAAAGAGACTGCAGCCGACCCAAGGTGGAGAGAGAGGCAGTCAGACAGAGAGACCACGGGCATGCCCTTGGCCACCCGCTGGCTGACATTCATAGAAGGCAAGATCCCACTCCGTCGAGTCCATCTTTCGGGCCTCGACGAGCATGGAAGATAGAGGGAGAGAGGGTCGAGGCCGATGAAAGTGCGATGCAACCGGGCAGGCAGTGGAAACGTCTAGATCCAACATGGCTCCGCAAACAAAGGTCCCGGCTCAGCGCTCAGGAGGGCAAAAAGCGGCCAGAGGCGAGTCAAGACCAGGCTCGTCGTGCCCCGCAGTGTTGCGACGCATACAGCCACCAAGCACGCAGCGGCAGGCGCAACCTGCCGGTCGACGGCCATGGCGCCCAACCGCAGGCGACGGCGAGCTCGCGTGGCCGCAGGGCCACCATCCTGCCCTCTGCCTCGTCGCGAGCTTGGTCGGAATCGTCCCTAGCGCGGAACCCTCACGTGCCTGGCGGTGACGGTCCTTTGCCCTCTGCTGCCGGTTGGTGATGATGCATCGGGGGCTCTCCCAGGGCCGGCCGTCGTCTTGGCGTAGATGTGCGAGCATGGAAGGTCATGGAAAGGACGAGGCCCACGGTGGGTGTGAGTGCTAGGATGGAAGGGGCTGCAAATGGGCTGCGGCGTGGGCGGCGGCCTGGGGCGGGGCGGGGCGGTTGAGGCAAGAGGCAGCTGCAGGGAGACCGCCTCCTGTATCTTGTCTTGTTGCTCTTCTTCGGGTTGTGTTGATGTGCTGGTGCCGAGAACGCTGTTCGCGAACATCTTGTCGCGGGCCATACAGGGCAGGCCAGGGAGGGGTCGAGACGGAAGGACAGGCGGAAAAGCGGAGAGGCCGACAGGCACGAAAGATCCGCGGCCGTGACTGCTTTGGCCCGTACGCCTGATCCAGTGTCGGTTCCGCTATTGCTTGGAGAGTTGGTGCTGGGGTTCGGTAGAAAGAGGCCGCCGTGGTGTGCAGCCTACGTTGGTAATGAGACGGAAGTCGGGCTCGGCCACAGCTGCAGGAGGCCCTCGTCGACCGTGATCCGCGAGGAGGGCCAGGGCTCGGGCCGTGCAGGGTGCGCATCCATCCGCTCAGTCCTCGAGCATGCTGTCGTCGTTGGCGTTGATGACGTGGTGCTCCCGGCCGAGGCTGCTGCTCTCCTTGCCGGGGCTGGAGCCGCCCCCGCTGATGGGGAAAGCGCTGACCTGGGGCCTGGAAGCGAGGCCGCCAGAGCCGGGTACGCTGACGGGGCTCGAGGCCGAGGCGCCGAGGTTGCCGGGCATCGAGCCAGCGGGCGACGAGGCGTTGGCGCCAGGAGAGGTGACCGTCGATGCGTGCGGGATCATCTCAGGGTTGGGGATCGCGGTGCCGACCGACTGCTGCGGCGCCTTGCCCGCCTTGGACAGGGCATAGTCGCCAGAGTCGAAGTATTTCCGCTCCTGAGGACAGTGATGCGCGTCGAGGCGCAGGGAAACGGGGCGACGGTTGGTTAGCAGTATGTCGACAGTCGGTCGTCTGCGGCACGGTCGAACGTGGAGGTGGTAAGGAGCCTCGAGACGTCGCGCTACTCACCTTGAGCTTGTTGGAGAGGAGGTCCTTGCGGTTGGGCAGCTTCCCGTAGAGGCGGAAGAGCTTCTGCTCCTCTTCCGACAGCGAACTGATGTCGACCTTGTTCCTCTGGGCGGGCAACATGCTGGGTTTGAGTGTCGAAGGAGGTGGACGGTCGAGGGACGTGGTGGAACGAGCGAGAGGCCGGCCGGGTCGGTAGCGAGCGCAATCAAAGAGCAGCGATGCGAGCACGAAAGCAGACGAGCGAGCTAGCGCGGGCGAGGCGGTCAAAGTCGACGGATCCGATCGAAGGTGGTTGCCGTGGATCGGGTGCGAGCAGGACGGGGACTCGGATCCTTGGTAAGCGGCGGCTGTTGCTGCTACGAGGGCTGGCCAGTGGTAGCTGAAAGAATCTCGGCGGCGCTGCGGGCGTCGCTTGGTTGCTAGGCGTTGTGTAAATGTGGCGCCGGCGTCAGCAGAAAGCGGGCCGCGTTTGCGAAGTTGCTGGTGAAGCAGAGGCGACGGCCTGAATCGAACGAGGGTGGGGTGGTGGCAGCTAGCGAGCGGCGAGAGAGACTTGCGATCTTCTGGTGGTAGGTAGTGTGTCGACTGTGGTGGTGGCAGCGGCTGTGAGCAGAGAACGAGGCAGATAGGTAGCAAAAGGCGAATGGTGGATGTGGGTTGGGAAGCCGGTGAAGCGGAGGGCGAGAGGGAAGGTCAGCGACGACGACGACGACGACGACGAGGGCAGGGAAGGCCAGGCTGGCCAAAAAAGTTGGGCGGCGGCGGGTGCGGCGGGGACCCGGGCGAGGCAAGGCAGGAAGCAGGCGGGCCTAGGGTCGATGAGCCTCTGGCGCCGCCGGATCGAGGCGAGCAACCCTAGCCTAGCCTGCCCTCCTAGCCCAGCCTGCCTGGGCCTCTGGGCCAAGGGCACGGACGGACAGGGCAGGTCACCAGGCAGGCAGGCCTGCAGCAGGTCGGCCTGAGGCCAGCCCAGGCAGAAGGCAGAAGGCCCGAGCGCCTCGACCACAGCCAACCAACGTCACAGCCGCCTCACGCCTGGGGGCCACCAGCCTGCGCCCAGGCCAAGCAAGGCCAGGAGGCTGGCGCCACCTGACCCAGCCCGCCGTGCCAGCCTAGCCTAGCCTGCCCATCCCCTCTCTAACTGCGGCTGGCGAGTTGCCGCTGCTGCTGCTGCTGCTGCTGCTGCTGCTGCCCCCTTGACCCCCGGCCCGCAACTCGCTCTGGCGCTGCGAGTCTGGCCCTGTCTCGAAATAGACCGCAGCCATAGCCAGCAGAGGTCCCCAACGGGAGCGGGCGTGCGACCCCGCCGCGCTGCTGCCGGGTGTTACGGCGGTGCTGCCTGGCCGTATTGTACCAAGCTGAGGCAGGCCTCGTCATCCCGTGTGGGCGGCGAGCGACCCGCTGGGAAGCCGCGCTGGCGTGCAGCACGTTTGCGGGCAGCTACGTAGGCTGTGGAGCTCCTGCGTCGACTGAGCCGGCGAGAGATCGGGCTCCAGCAGGTCTGTGGGCTCTCCGGCTGGTGCGCTTGTCGAGGATGCCCCCGATGGCCAGGCTGGCACCAAGGGCATTGACCTGTCTCGCACGATAAGGCTGACAAGCCCTCTCAGCAGCGGTACGGCGGGCGGGCAAGGCGCAGTGAACGGGCGGCGCGATGGATGCAGGCGATGACGCCGGTCGGTGGCCGGTTTTCGTCATGGGGGCCGTCGTCGGGCCAGGCGGTCGGTGAGTCGGCGAGTGAGAGCGAGGCGCCGAAGAAACGAAGAGCCAGCAGGCTGGGCAGAGAGCCGCTGCGCACGAGAAAACGAGGGGGCGGCTGGCCTGGCAGGGAAAGGCAGGCACGCAGCCAGGCAGGGAAGCGGGTGGAAGCAGGCGTGGGTGGCCAGCCAGCCAGGCCCAGCTGGGCGACGACCGTGCTCGGGTCGGCGGGCGTGCGCGCGCGAG